CTGATGGTTTTAAATTCGTAATCGAACTGGATTCTGTTTTTCGATATACTTCATCGACTACCATTTACTACTCTATCAACTCATTATTGTCTACTTATTGACCTGACTTCTCTCTACGTCTTATTTAATTTCGTTACATCAGTTAGTTTATAATTTCACTACTCTTAGCAAACTGTAGCTCAGATGAGCGTTGGGAATGTTAAACGACAATTGTAGCACCACTGATGCAGTCATTGTTTCCTTAAACTTCTTTTATAAAGACAGTGCCCACAAGAAGAAATTTGTTTGTACTATAATAGTTATACCGCTGCCATTCAACTTCGATCTAATAACCTCCTATGGGTATATACAACAAGTATAATAGGGCTCATCATAGTTTTACTTCGTTCACATACACACGCTTCCACTGCATTCATTTACACATCATTATCACATACAATCACCATTTACATTAAAATATACTATTAAAATTTTACTGTAGCTCTCTATGACTAAAATTTTTGAGACGGTCCCAAAAAAAGCATCAGCCAGAAATGTATTTTCTGCTTAAGGCTGCACCCCTCAATTTCAAGCACACTTCAGATTCAGATTCATAAGCCAATTCGGCCGGAACGCATCAGGCGAGCCAGTGCGATCATGCGTTTTTGCACTATTTCGTGCTGTAGCAAGATCGCAGAGGAACAGTGTGTCTAAAATTTGTGACATACTGGCCCTCGAAGTTCAGGAAGTTAATTATGCGGCTTGTCAGTTGCAGACGTCGGCCTCATTGACTAGACAAATGAAAAGTTCTGGTCCATGAAAAAGACCCCACTAGAAGAGGTTGAATTTGAAATCTTTTAGTCGCTCTTGAGCAGAGAACATTCCCTTAAAGTTCCAGCCTTCCAGTTTTCCTCGTCCCCGAGTTAGCGGTTTTCCGACCAAAATTTTCACTTGCCCGCACGCGAAGCGTAGATGTGCGCGACAACTGAGACAAGTTCCTGGGGTTGCACTTGGGCAAGAATACAACGGAAAAATTTCAGTATCAAGGCTTCTGCAACCGGCAAGTAGAAATACCTAGGCAGACGAACAAACACATTCATACACACAAAGGCAGGGTCATCGCGATATGCGTTTCTGCTGCCTGTTGCAGCGCTACAGCGCTGCGCGGCAAAAGCGCATGGAAGGTGGCAAGGAAACAACATATTAAAGAAACTACTGGTTGGTACTATTTTATGCCATGAAACCAAACCCTTTATTAGCTCGGTTCTAAGCACCTCTCAAAAAAGGGGAGATAGCCGACAGCTTTGTTGGCGCATGAG